TAACTGTTTAAAGGAGTAGAAAGTCCAGTCTTTGTCCCACGAAGCTGCTGCTAGTTTCAAACTGCCCACCATGCGGATCACAGTCCAACGAGTAACCACATCATCAGGTTAGGATTAAATCTGAACATCAGGGAAAGTGCTTAGCCAAGTAGGTGCTAATAAAACATTTCCTACTGCTGTCACTATCTTCAGGAGCTACGCCTGACAGCGTAGTGTTTACACGTTGGGCTGCTAACTGCAAAATGAGCAGTTCGAACGCACCAGCTGCTCCACGGAAGAAAGACAAGGCTTTTGACTCCCGTAAAGGCTTACAGTCTGGGAAACCCACAGGGGCAATTCTACCCAGTCTAAGAGGGTGGCGATGAGTCGGCAGGGGGCGATGGCAATTAGCTTGCTTTTGGTCCCTGTCTTCGCAGCCAAGCGGTGGCATCCCGATGGTTGGTGACCTGGCCGCAGCGGATCACCAAGCCAGGATTCCCCAGCCTTGCCTGCGTCCGGTTCCCTCGACAACGTCGCCCAGCTCCAACCAGGTCGCCTCCGGGTTTGTTGTGGGGCGGGGAGGGGCGAGTGACGCGAAAGAAGGGGCCCAATGAGCGCCGAGCTTTCGCTCGGGGGCTCCGACTCGCCGCCCGCCCCGAAAGCGAGGTTCAACCCCGAGATGGGAAGGCGGGAAAAGGAGGGAGTCGCGGGCTGGCACTGACCTTCACTCTCCCGCCGGAGTCAGGCCCAAATTCGGCCATTCTCTTGAACATATTGTCCCACGGAAGACGCCGCCGCCTCTGCCAGGGAAAGAGACCGGGGCCGGCGGGGTCGCCGCTCCCCTCACCTCAGAGGCCCCGTTCCTCCCGCGCGGGCCCAGGCGAAGGCTGTCCGGCCGGAGGAGGGCGGGTCGCCGGTGCTGCAGCACAGAGTAACCGCTAACTCCTCGCGTCCCCGAAGCCCATTCAACCCCGCGGGGGAGGAGAGCGGAAGCGGAGCAGCGCGACGGTGACGCTGCGCGCAGGCGCAACGGGCTCGCCTGCCCGGGCGGTGCGCCTGCGCGGACGGCCGGACCGCGCGCGACCGCCGTCCCTGCGCTTCCGTCGCCGAGCCGCGCACCCACCGAGAGAGTCCCTTCTGGAGACAGTACCTTGTCCTTGACCGACTGTTTCAAATTCCTGAAATCGTGCTGAAACAAAGGTCTCCCTTAGCTTTTTGTTGTCTCCATGCAGACCTCCGCCCGAGACCCGGCCAAGCCATCTGCCCTCCCTCTCCCAAGTTACTCAGGTTAGAATAGATTCCAAGGTGTCTTGATTTGTTACAGGCAACGTCCATTGCCTTTCTGAAGCACGTCTCCGAAGACTGACTCCCTGCCATGGAGAGCGGGACTGCTCCCTTGGGGTTTCCATCACCTTCCAGGGGTTCTCAAACTGTTAAAACAGGGGCCCAGTTCACTGTCCCTCAGACCCGTTGGAGGGCCGGACTATAGTTTAAAAATATATATATGAACAAATCCCCATGCACACTGCATATATCGTATTTTGAAGTGAAAAACAAATGGGGCAAAAACACCCGGCGGGCCGGATGGCCGCAGGACCCCTGTTAGTTGCTCCTGACGAGTGGCTGGTGGGGCTGGGGAGGAGGGTTCGAACCACTGGTCTTAGGTTAATGCATAGCCCACTACGCCATCAGAACTCCTGTTCTTCGTCGATCAGAGCTGTACTAAATTAATGTTCTCCAATTTAACTGTAATCCTGGCTGTCGAGCAGCAGTTCTGGTGTTTTGTTTTAGAGTTACAGTC